ATGGTTTTTCTCACAGATAAACTTAAGTTCTTACGTTTTAGAGGAACCTAGGTTTCATCTTCTTCAAAGGACTTAGGGAGGTTTTTCAGCCATTGCTTGTGCATGTGTGGGGGTTTTGTGTTTGCGTACTTTCACAGCTTAATATGGATAAGTACTAACAGAACTTAATCTTTTAATTTAGCTCTCTGTTGTCTACTGACTTGTGAAATATTTTTAGGTAACTTAGCCAGAAGTGATTACGTAGATAAGCAGAGATAAGTGTTAAAAAAAAAAAAAAAAAAAATCAAAGAAAAGCTTTTTATTTTCTTAAAGTTGCACTATTTTGGAAAATAATACCTTACTTTTTCATTATCAGCATCCCAGATATCTCTGAAACTAGATGAATTCAAAATACTGTCCTACTCCCGCCATCCCCCTGACTTGTGTTCTACTCTGTCTCTTGGTAGCGTGAATAAAAGCTAGGTCGTGAAAACCAAAAGCTGAAGCTGCTTTGGTGCTGCAGCATTTGCATTTCGTCAGAATCCTTAAAACCAAAAAAGACAAGCGGTTTTTTTCTATTCAAAACTAATATTTATGTATTATGTCATCATTTCTGGTTTTAAAATAAAACTGAAGTACACATTTGGGGTTAAAACTCACTGATGTTATTCTGAGGGGTTCCCTGACTGAAGTTAAGGTGAAAAACAATCTGATTCTTGCTCTTCAAGTATAGTTTACTTGTATCCTGTATTGATGCTAACTCTGCAGGGTATCAGTTAGTGTCGGGAATGGATAAAGACAGGACATCAATACCCAGTAACTGCTGAGATTGCTGATGGATTCTTTGAAATATGTAAGTATTTGATAATAATAATTATGACTTTTGTTCGAAGCATCCTAACAGGTTTGATGTGGGTGGGTAAATGCTGTCACCTGTAAAATGGGTAACAGAGCAGGGTCGGTGAGAGCCGAAAGGCACTGCCGGTCCTGGAGAGCCCATCAGGGCTGCGCTGGGCCACGAGCCGGCTCTGAGAAGCGGGCTGTGCTGCTAGGAGCTGCTCCAGGGTGCCTGGACCTTCCCGTGGTCCCATGGCCTGCTGACACGCTGGAGTTACGTGCGTGTTTGTGTGCTTTCATCGTCGAGAACTGCTGTTCAGAGATGACTTTAATAGGCATGTTCTTAATATAATTTTTAACGTGATTAAATTTGAATGCGTAGTTTATTGTGTGTAATGCCTGAGCTTCGAGGTGGCATTGGGAAAGAGCCAGTGCTTTTATCTTCATTTGGATTTGCCAAAAGAAACCACTTCCAGAGGAGACGTGATTGAGTTCTTGAAGGTGGAGCGCTCCTGCTGCCCGTGAGCTGGCCCGGGGTGGTCACGAGCAAATGCGGCACCCAAAGCAGTGGCACTGCTGCCGTCGCTGTGCTGGCTGGCTCCTCTGCCAGAGCTCTGCTGTTCTCACACCCTGCCTCTTTGTAGAAGTCCTATACACTGTAAGGGAATACAGCTTCAGAAAGCTTGCAGCTTGAAAATCTGCAGCAATTCATGCTGCTCTGGTCCTTACCAAATCCTCTGGAGCAGTGGAGGTGGGAGGGGGTTTTCTGTGAGCGGCAAGCAAATTTTTACCCTGGAGCAAAGTGGGAATGAGGAGAAAAATGTTAAAGAGGGAGAAGTAAGTTCATTTCCATTGTTGTCATTCAGGGCATCTGCGCTTTGTGTGAAAGCAGCTTTTTGCATCTGCCACAGGGAGAGGTTTTCTTTTCCCTGGCAGCTCCTGTATGTCTCCTTAGCTTCCTGCTACAGGGGGGACATTCCTCCTGGACAGCAGTCTTGCCTTTGGGTAGAAGCAGGTAATTTAAGCTTGGCGTTTGGACATTTTTGAGTGATCTTATATCATGTGCGTGAAATTTTAATTTAATGCTGCTATAGAAAAACATCTTAAACCAGGAGAAACTTATGTTCTTGTCATAGAGCTCATTTTTACTTTGTTTTTTCGTGAACTTCAGTATAACATAGAAGATGAAAGAAAACTAGAGGAAAAGTGGGTGTGAGGTAGGACTGACGCGCTTTTCAAGTCTAGTAAATGCAGAAGCAATTGACAGTTCACCAAATAATTTATTTTATTAGCTGTTCTGGTGTTTTTACTCGATTTAAGGAGGTGATTTTTTTTTTTTAATTGCCTTGAAAATAGTCCCCATCCACGGACTCGATACCATTTCATAGGACCACTCACCCTGTGCACCTGAGCAGAGGTGACAACTATGGGCACTCAAAGTGCAGCTTGGTGTTGTTTCAAAGTATACACATATGCTTACATATGTAAGTAAAGCTTACAAGTGTAAATAAAACTTAACATATGAGCAAAATATAACTCAGCTTTAAAACTGCTTCTGGTAAATTGCAATGAATCAGGTACTTGTTAAAAATAACAAATAAATAAAAGGAGGAAATATAACTACTTCAAAGAAAATTTCGTTATAAAGGAACAAGTTTAGGAAAAGGGAAAAAATGAACCAATGTGGTATCTGTGAGTGACTGACCTGTTTCACTTAAGGCGAGGTTTCAGTGACACAATCTTTTGTGTCTCTTTAAAGTTACAACTTAATAATTCATATTTGCTTCTGTCATACTTACAGTTACAGATAACTGGTGTGGCAAACTGTGTCCAGCAGTAAAAAAGGATCTATAGTGAATAATCAACGTGACATGAATCCCCTTTTTCCACTCTGGCATCTCGGTGTTTTCTTGTGTTTCTCACACTGCAGCCACCCCCTTCTTGGTGCGATGCAGCAATACCTGTGTGCATCATTTCACCAACAAACTCGATGAATTCCTCCTCTGTTAACTTGTCCACAACCAGTTTGCTTGTGTGACTGGGTTTGTATTGACTTAGATGTTCTCTGTAAAGAACAATATTATCTTAAAATGTTCATATTGTCTGCACAGCCGTAACAATTCACTAGTACGACAAGAAAACATTATTTCATGGAGTGATGCAAGGAAGCCCTCATGCTGCTGGCTACTTAAGGGTCATGCAGTACAGCGATGGAAGCAGCCCAGTTAAATACAGCCTTTCCTCAGCACAGGACGTTTGATACTGGGCAAGATGGACCTTGAATCTGAACTAGAGGTTGTGCTTTTGAGACTGGTTTTGTCTTGTGTCATCCTGTCATTGGGTGATAGTAACTGGATAAGTCGCTCATCAGGAGTTCTCTCCATCATTTAAAAACTGTCATGTAGCAGTGAAGGAATACCAAAACATGAATGATTAAAGTAGTTTTGGTCTACAGGGTTAAGCATATAATGTCATTTATGAGACTTAACTTATGCAAATAGCATTTATGGCCATGTGGTAGAGCATATTGGATACATCAAACCATCATTCTAGGCTAGGGTTACACCCCCACCCCCCCCACTTGTGCTGCAAAATGTTGGCAGGCAGGCCTGCAGATGTGGAGGTGCAGACTGCACCTGCTACAGGCTGGGTGCATTAAAAGGAGACTTCCTCAACAGATAAAATGTCACATCTTCAGTTAAAGGTAAAGGTATAACCCTCACGCTTGGGGTGGCTGTCAGCAACCCATGACATTATCTCACTTTTTGACAGTAAAGAGTAGCTGGCTCAGTTCCAGTTTACGCTAAATGTGAATTGCACAGCCTGAATAATTATGTTGACTTTAATATTGCACTGTATAATTCGGCAAAAATAATGCTTTAGATTCAACACAGAAACACAAAACCAAGGTTCAGATACGCTCAAGTTCTTGTTTCTTAGGAAAACTGTATACTGCCGCCGCATAGTCTCTAATGTGGTGCGATGTCTGAAAGGAGATGATGATTATTTCCTTAGCTTGCTCTGTTTAAAGCAGAAGGACTTACATTTAATATGCACCACTGGATTAGAATATTTGATTTGTAACCAGTTTGGGCTGTGGTATGACAAATTGTTTATGCTTGTGTTGCTACTGGAAGAAATGGTATTAGATATCCCCATCACCATCTTTGTTTCAGAACAAATATTTGTGTAGATACGTGGTTAACTGGCTGGGGGAACTGATACAGTTGAAAATAAATCCATTTAAATAAACCCCAAAGTTAAAAAAAATAAAAAAAAATAAAAAAAAGAACAAAACCACCAAAAAAACCGCAAAACAAAACCCAAACAAAACAGAAACTTGAACTCAGCCAAAGAATAGTTTCTCCTACCCATGCTACCATCTGACCATACAAACATCTGCTGGCATGAATGTGAAGAGATGATACAGGGAGAAAGATTGAATGCCTGGGAAGGTTGGGAGAAGGTGTGACTGCTTTATTTTTTAATGGAAATACTACCTTGTGTCGAATTCAAGGGCGTAGTTTGACAGTTTGACTTGAGTGCTAGTGTACAGAATCACTGTACATTAGTGAAATCAGTTAATACAATTTTGAATGAATGCCACCCATCTAGTGTAGCAGAAGTATTTTTAGTTCCACAAATCACATCTAGAAAATGCTAACATCTGAACATGCATCTTACTCATCAGTCTGTATGGTGAGACTGACAGGTGAAACCCAAACCCACTGTAACATTTAAAAAAAAAAAAAAAAAATCTGTCAGTGCATTGTCGGGTGTTTATGGTATTTGTTGTCTTGACCAGGAGAATAAAAAAATGAATTGAATTTTGAGGTGTTTATCCAAATAATTTTTTTGCCCTAGAACAGATGCAATTCCTCAATTATACTTCATTAGTAAAATTTATCAGAGGAAGGATGGACAGTTGACTTTCTAATGCTAGAAGATAGCGATGGTGACCCTTGTCTCAGTCCATATTCTCCTACATATTTTTCTGTCCCTCCTATTCCTTAAGTGTGTTTCTCCCAGCTCACTTACGTAGCTGACAGTGTTGACTAAAGCCAAGTCTTTGATTCAGACTGGAACCTGCTTGTTTCGTAGGGAGGCTGGAACTGAGATCGAGACACCCAGCTTGCTTCCAACAAGTCTTCTGGCAGATGAGA